TTGGAAAATGCAAATTATCTGCACTTGGCGACTGCTCAAACGAAACGAAAGTGTTGTCGTTGTCTCCAGAATAGGAACGTGACCGAATCGTTTGGCAGAAATAATAATCACACGCTACAATGGAAGAGTTTGTACATTTTTAATAGAAAGTTTTCCCCTGATAAATGTGGAAATAAAATCTAAATAAAAATCTAACAAATCGTGAGCTTATTTGTGTGCATGCTTTTGATTTGGATAATATTGTCGCGCAAGTACAAAAGAGGTAAGAGGTAACCCATGACATGCTAAGAGTTTAGTTTAAATGTATGAAAGAACTAAACTTAGTTGGTGCCTTTTAGGGTTCAACCAGTCAACCGTTTTTGATTGCATGTTAACCAATTAAAACTCTTCTCTTGGAGGTCTCAAACCCAAGACAAGACAAGCCATTCTTGTGTGCCAGAATGGCCTAGCAAAACAGCTACTGGATGTGGCCTTATAGGCCAAATTAATACGAGTAGACAGGCAAACACTTATTCGATTAGCGGTATTTTATTCGTAGCTTCTTCGTTGGTAGTTAGTTGGTTGCTGGAGTTGGCGACAAACAAATCAAGATCTACCAGTCATTTTTCCTGCTTAACTCGTTCAAGTTTTTCCTACTTACGAAACGTTAACTGGGATTGTCCGTTGGCCGCAATTGTTTGTCCGCGCCAGAGCGCTTCTTTCGAGGAGGGATCTTGTGAAGTTTTCTTGCAATTATTTTCCGATTTTCTCCCCATCGCGTCCGTGGATGGATGGATGCTGGTGGACTGCGTGACAGGTCCGCGGATCAGAAACTGGAGCAAAGCAGCTGCAATTGCGGCTGCAACTTGTTTCCACTACTAAAAGGTGGGTCACAGCCATAACTCCTCTGACTGGCTTGGACTTTTCTGTGTTCTCCGATACGAGAACGAGTTGATGCAGCAAAATAATCGTGCGTTGAGCCATTTCCAATCAACAGTTTACCGCTAGCCAACAATCTCTTTATCGGGTTCTTAGAATGTGCTAATGAACCATTCGAATACAAATAGAAATGCTGTAAGAACATTTCTATTTGCCAGCCATAGCTCAGACATGTCATTATTCATGGCCAATTATAATTTCAATTGCAATTACAATTACAATTACAATTATGTACAATGAATGGCAAAAGATCAATAGGTCTAGGTCTAGGTCTGAACGAGCTTACCTTTTGGCTGTAGCCAAAAATAGAAACAATTACAGTAATCCAGCAGCCCTCAAATTTACATTTACCCATCGACCCCAATGACCACTCGGATTGAGAGTCATAATTATGAACGGGTAATAACACGAGAAGTACTTACAACCTTCTGAGAAGTGCAAACTTTCCCCTCAAATGCGATAAATGCGACAAGAAAACAATTATCTCTTGGGCCAGCCCACTGGGCTGTAGAATTACGATCTTGGATCTTATCTTCGAGAGAGAGGAACGGCACTGTCCGAGCAGCATAACAAAGACAACAACAGTTAGCCGGCAATCTGATGGTGTCAATGCAAATGCTTGACTTCAATTATTTACAGCTCGGAAGCTCGGAAGCAGTCAGCTGTCGGCACCTCGTCCCCCACTCACAAATGATGTGTTGAGTGCAGGTGGTAGTGGGAGGTGGTGACCCACAAAGCACGCGCCATTTGAACCCAGCTGACCGAAATAAATGAAAGTCGCTTAGTGGCACCCACAAGTGAGGCAAGGCATGGAAAAATGTTCAAACTACCAATTAAACACACACAAAACTTAGCCCATTAAGAATTTCCATCAGAATATTCGTGACTGGAGATACCGCTAAGGGGCTGGCGATGAGCTGTAGTACAACACTATGGGCTATGGGGCTATGGGGGGCTATGGAGCTTTGGCTGTGTGGTATGCAAATGCAAATGCTTATGGCAATTTATAGCGCAGAGTTCATGAACAGCAGCGCCTAGCGTCACGCTCTTTTGAGCAATTTCTTTGTTGGATTTCATTATTATACGCCGTAATGCTCACCTTATGGCAGGGCATTGTTCGTTAAAGTGTCCATAACTCTCCTTGTATGAAAGATTTTTCATGCTAAGATTTACTTAAAACAAGAGTCAAAGATACGAGCACCACATGCGTGAGATGGCAAATCCTTTGCTAGAGAAGGTGCAGGCAGTTCGTCTCTATACTTCAGAGAGTGGAACGCTGAGGGAGCGATTCTAATCCATAGTCCCACTTGGTTTATCTATTCCAGACATCAAATTACAAATGACAACTTAATTAACTTTAGCTGCAAGGCAATTTCTTTTGTATGCAAAACTCATGACATTTTTGTTTTGATGTTTTGTCTTTTATGTAAGATTCGTCACATGTTACATTTTTTTTCTGTTTGCTCATTGTCAGGATGTAAAGTCTTCACCTCTTTGGGTCAGTAGTCGTGATCGTGTTTTGTGTTCGGGTGTTTTGGGTCACGTAGCCAGCAGATCGTTAACAAAACTGGCCAAAAGTGTTTGCTTTTTTTTGCAACCAATGCAAAATTAATTTCTTTTTAACCACCCGCCGCTGGTGCCCGTCTCCACCCGAATGGGCGGACAGCTGGATGAGTGGAGGGGAGCGGAGAATGAAGCGCGAAATGCCATAATGAGTGGCACAATGTGACAATTATTGTGTGCCCTGTGTTTGCCGCTTTTCGTGTCTCGTGACGCAACGCCAGCGTCGCTGCCAGCGCAGCTAATGAATGAATGAATGAACGGAGCGAGCAGCCACATGGGGCATAGTAGGGCAGCCAAGTAGCCAAGTAAATATCTCTCTCTATCTCTGCCCATCTGGCTGTGATTCTACAAAGAAAGTCTGAGCGAAGCCGAGATTATGTTGGAGCGTAGTCAGGGAAAGTCATGAAACTTTAATTGCGCAATGTTTTTGTGGCAAAATGATTTGAATAATTTGCAGAACTTGTCCACTCCAGTACAGCGAGCGAAACTGCACAAACTTCTTCTGTTTTGAGTCAACTTTTATCTACCTAAAGGGGTTGACTAGCAAGCTTTGTGGTGCGCATTTCTGCGCAGTGTACAGTGCTCGGTGCTCATGTCAGATACGCAGTGCTGGGCACACAGCAAAGGAATCAAGCGAATCACTGGCAGCGCACCTGCACCCAGCCCCTGTGCGTTGTATCTGTATCTTCAAGCTTGCCTGCATCTTGTAGGCAGGCGGAGAGCAACAACAAAAAATACGACTAATTTTTGAAATAGTTGCCGCTGCCATTGGCACTGCCTGGCAGCAAATAGAAACACAGTTAAACATAAAAAAACTGCAAGAAAAGTTAAAACAAATCTACAGAAACACCGTAAATTGAATAGAGAAAGTGATGATCATGATATGATGTTATTTGTTCAATAAATCACAGCACCTATCAACACCAACAGTCGCTACCGCCACCCCCTCTAATGCAGCAGCAGTTAACGGCAGTTAACGGCCATCAAATTTGATCACTGGGAAATTCTGTTAAAAGAAGTAAAAGCTCTCGCCGCACGCACAAAAGAAAATTCTAGAAAAATATTCAATAAACCGTTGAAAACGAAAATGCATTCGGTTGGTTCTGCGCTATCTTTAGCGGACCGACCGTTGTCGTTGGTTCCATTCCAGAGACCCGTCGGAGGAGCCATAAAAGTAAGAGTTTTCTCGGCCAGGCTCCACACACAATAGAGGGCCTGGCTAATAGCTCGTTTTTCCACTTTTTGTCTTTGGGTAGACCAATTTTGATTAGCTGTTACTGTTATCTCATGAATAAACCGACAATGTTGAATGTTGACAACGTTAAAAGTTTAAACATATCGAAACACACACACAGCCACACACGTGCGATTAATTGCCAGTAGATCAAACATTTGAAATGGAAATCGCTCGAACGAACCGTACAATGGAAAGTTGGGATGTATCTGCAGCGAGATAGATTTTTTACGGCCTTCTTTTCTTTTATTATTAGTGAAATGGTAGCGGAATTTTTAATTGAATTACGACCACAAACATTTCATGAGCTGAGTTGTTTTGGCATAGAAATATGTTTCCAGTTTTTCTCTGTGCAGACTGCACGTGTTCTTGTGAGTCAAATTTCAATTGCAAATGCTGGGATCATCCATGTAATTGCTAGTTTAGTTTAGTTTACTTTTAAATACAATATTGCTGCTCTTAGGGTCTCCCATTCTCCACTTCAAAGTATTCTCTACTGCCTGATGTTTTGGCTCGCTGTAAGCTGAAAAATTAAATGCATTTTACAAAAGGCAAACACACACACAGCACAACAGGCCCACGAGCAGCACAGCACAGCACCAATTATCGTAAGACTTGACCACGGTCATTGATTTCGAAAATGCCTTCACTGTCGAGGGGCACCCTTGCCTCTCTCATCGTCACAGCTTCTGCGCTTGCGCAAAAGGCAAAACCCGGGTCCGCCGGCATTTGAGACCCCAAAAGAGGTTTAATTGCAGTCTGGCTGGGTGCCCAAAGGCACCCGCGATTAGTGGGAGAGACTGCAACATACGCCGAAATCTTTACGCAAATGCTGCCACATGAGATGACATTCACATTGCCTTCCCTTGTGCGATATGCAAATGTTCGTGTTGGAGTTCATACTACAAAACCAATAATAATAATATATAATAACCGAATCTTCAGTGTCGGCATTGGGCAAGTGATTGTTACTGTTGCTGGGATGTTGAAAAGCAACTGTCTCGGACTCGTTTATCTCCATCAGGGCATTGGATGTGTTAGTTTGGAGTGGGCTAAAGCAAAAACAAAGAGACAAAGATGCAGACAGACAGCGATACACAAATGGGAAGACGGGGAGCGGACAGGCAGACGGACAGCAACGGACAGCGACGGACAGGCATTCTCATTGTGCTGCGCTACCCACTTACGCCAGAGATGATATTGTTGCTCGTAGAGCAGAGGCCACTCTCCCAGCGGCGTCAGTCTTGGCCTGGCCATTTCTTTCTTTCTTCGGCCACAGTGGAGTCAGTCGTAAGCCAGCGCTCGTCGGGCTTCGGTTGTGTGGATTCAGTCTACTTGGAGTCTGCTTTTGACGCGCATCGACACTTTGGCCAGTCGCTCTGTGGCATTCAACGAACTCAGAAGCCCCGTTTCGGTATCGAGCTCTCCAAAACGAATTACAACATTTGGATTACAAACTTAAAGCCAAAAGCCAGCAAAGACAGTGAAGTGCATTGAAGTTGGAGCCAGATTTGGACTGCAACTGGGAGCCTAGTGGCGGTGCAGTGGAATTAAAGTTCAATAAGGCACGAGTAAATGGCATTTCCAACGATTGTGATTACGTTTAAGTTCGTGTGTGTGTGAGAGTGTGTGCCTTGAGCGGCATTTGCTAATTACCGCAAAAAAAAAAACATATCTACACAGTGAAAGTATCTCATAGATGCAACCGAATAACGCGCTCGACGTGTGGCTCATACGAGTATATCTGGGCCTTGCCTTACCTTGCCTTGCCCGCTGCGAGCATAGCTAACATTTTTCCAATATAACAACAATTGCATTTCATGGGGCAATTTATCAGCCGAAAGAGCGCCAGCAAGTAAAACTACAAACAAACCAAAAAGTACATACAAAATACAAACAGCATAAAAGTGGCCAAATAATTATTTTGCAATACATTGTTCCTCATGGCCTGTGCCTTAATCTAATTGTTTTTACCCCAAAAAAATATATGTAGCTACAATTTGTCGGTATTTGGTTTTTGCTTGCAGCTAATTAATGAGCCAGCACGGCAGTGAATAATGATGGCCACAGTCGAGGAGCGAGGCATGCAACACCTGCGAGCACATCGTATCTGCATCTCCAATGGAAATGGAAATGGAAATGGAAGTGGCCAGTAGTTGTGTTTGCCCTATGCAAAGTGTGAAGTGAAGAGCCAAGCCGAGCCGCTAACATGTTAAAAATTAACGTTCATTTCATTGTTCATGCATAGTTGAATTGCCTTTTATTGCTAATTGCATGCAAAACGAATTCCGAATTCCGAATCCTAAAACCGAAAACGAATCCGAATCCGAATCCGAATCCAACAACAGTTAAAGAGTGAGCTAAAGATTTGCATCTGTGCATTCCGTAAGTGTTAATCGGATACAGACTCTGAGGATGGTCACCTGCAAAGTGGACTCTCAGAGTGCAGTGGCCATACCCAAAATGAATTCCGTGCGGGCGGCGCGTGGCAAAGCAGCGACCGGCAGCAGTAACAGCAACAGCAACAGCAACTCTTCCGGCTTTCGGCTATTGGACGGCGATCAGCTCGAAAATAATTCGAGTGTCAGTCGAAATTCGATATACAAACTGAAGATTGATTTAATGTTTGACGATTCCAGGTGAGTAATTAGATGAGGTGAAAATAAATAATTAAAGACAAATATCAATCATAGCTGATGGTTTTGTTTTAGGAGGTGTGGCACACCTCATTAGCTTCGCTCTCGATATGATAGCCAACACTTTCGTTCTCGAAACTACAGCAGTGAGTTACAGAAACACAAATGAGAAATGAGAGAAACAGATGCAGAAGAAAGAGCAGCAGGGAGAGAGAGAGAGAGAGAGAGAGACTGACCATGCATGTGTCTTCGAGTCCGTTGAATGTGTTTCGTTTACCGTTTTGCATTTCCATAAGCAGCAAACAACACACAAAAAAAAGCACAGTTAGTTCAAAAATTAAAAACGATATTGTCTGTGAAATAGATAGTAGAAAGATAGTTGCCAGAGACAGGGAGAGAGAGGAAAGAACGCATAAGCAGAGGGACAGGGAAAGAAAGAATAATTTGAGTCTTTCGGTCACCTTGGATCGGCACTTGCTCGATGCTTAAATATTCCAACGCTGACACACATTCACGGAGCAAACTGCTTAATTGATTGAAAAAGAAAACTGTGACACCACACCGCTCCCCGCCGTCCAGTCAGCAATCTCCACTCCACTCATCTTCATTCCCATTCAAAACTCTCGCAGCTCTGGCGACGTTCTATGGAAATGACCATTTCCGATTTTGTGTCAGTTAGCGGTAAATAGAATCTGGTATTGGGAACACCTAAAGCTGCATGCGTCAGTGGGGGGAAGGCCATTGGTGCTCCTCCTCCAGCTTTAAACCTGGACCATTGTCTGTGTGTGTAGCTCTGGGAATGGCGCTAGCAGGATGTGGCCATGGCCAACACTATAAACAGACATTCTCCAGTCTCCGCAGCTCTAGTCCGAGACGAATATGCTAATCTATGGTTAGTTTTGCGTTAATCAGTCAAACTTTCACAAAAAAATGTAACTTTTTTGTCACACACAGCAGAGACAGAGACAGAGACCGAGAGTGGAGGCAGCAGCCACCCTCCGAAAGTGTTGGCTTCAAAATAAATCCATTAAAAATGTGGCTGGTGGCCATTAAACCATAAACAATTGAAACTATTTTACATTGTTATAGTCCATCGAATCAAAGCTCCAGCTAGAACTTTCTATGGCAAACTTTAAACCTGTCTTTATGATCCAATTTCTGTGCTTCCCGCCCACCCATTGTAGATCCATGCGTAGCAGCCGCCTCGATGATCCTCGTGGATCGCATCGCACGCGCTCCATCATCATGTATGGGCGTAGTGAGTTGGCCAGCACCTCGGGGGCCAAGAGCAGCTTCCTGCAGGAGTCCAACGAGTCGGCCAAGGTGCTGGCCGAGGCGGCCAAGAAGGATGTGCAGCGGATCAGCAACAGTGTGCAGGCCCAGATCGAGCAGCTCTTCACGGATGTGGCTAAGGATGCCACCAGCAGCTTTGATGTCACCTGCCTGGGCTCACTGCCGCTCAAAGATAAGGTGACGAGTCTCCAGGGACTGCAGGAGCCACTGCGTCAACTGTACCTCACTGAGGTCTCCAATAAGGTAAGTAAATGCAGCGAGTAAAGGCTCTGCTGGTATCTCAAGCTCTGTTTCGGTGTGTTCTGCAGAAGCTCGGCTCGGGTTCGTTGGATATTTGTGCCACTGGATTGCGTGTGAAGATCAGCAGTGGGCCAATCCCAAAGGGCGGCTCAGACGACAGTGAGGCTCACATTACGCCATTTCACAACATTGCCGTGTGGTCGGCGGTGAAGTTTGTCATCTCCGCGGATGATGGCGGTGCCGCCTTTCTGCCACTGATCACCGATCCCGAAAATATCGACAAGACTGCACTGTTTCAGCCGCTAAGGTGAGTCCTTAGAGCTGTTGCCAAGATCTTCATCGAACTTTTATGCCCAGTTCCAGCGAAGAATTGGCTGTGGAGCACAGCATACACGTTCATGCACCCATCTTTGCGGTTGTCATGCGTTCTGCTAGTTCCCCGAAGATCCTCGAGTGCCATGGCTTCATCTGCAAGAGCACCGAGGATGCCATCGTGATAGCGGCCACCCTCTACCAGAGCCTGATGGCCCACGTCAGCACCAATTCGCATCGGAGTACGAAACGTCGAACGCCGCGCCAGCAGAACGGCGTCAGTTGCATCAGCATTGCCAGCAGCTCGGCCATGACCAGCTCCAACTATCTGTCCCGCTCCCAGATGACGCCCAGTGCCAGTGGGCGACGCAGTTCCTTTCGCGCGGGCACCGGCGCCTCCGGCACGCCCTCCCGCTCCGTGCGCAAGAAGCGCGTCTCCAGCAGCTCGCTCAGCTCCAACAGCAACATCATCAATGAGGCCGCCGAGGTGGAAACGTCCACGGAGGAGCGCAAGCGCAAATCCCACAAGTCCAAGCGTGCCCCCCCAGTGCCCACAACGGTGCCGGGTTCTGGCTCCGGCTACAAGGGCGCTCCCACGCGCAACGGCAGCATCGTGTGCAGCAATGGACACGTGAGCCGACTGCATCATCACAGCAAAAAGCCAGCAGGAGCGGCTGCAACCAGTGGCTACAAGGGTGCGGATTTGGTAGGCACTGCTAGTGCCAGCAACGGTGGAGGTGGCGAGGCGGCCAATGGGGACATACTGACACGCGTGGCCATACCCAGATCTGGCAGCTTCCTGAACACCGGCGGCCTGACACGCTACAAGTCGCGGGCGGCGCGCCGTCACTCGGGAAAGTTGGGCGGCGGCGGTGGCGGAGGGTGAGTATTATCACCGAGCTCTTTGGGGCCAGGAGCACCAGGCAGCTGGACTGGAGTGCCCCTGGCCTGGGTGCTGGTGGTAGTTTGATTTGTTATTTTGGGTGAAAAGGTTTGGTTTGGTTGATTGGCATCGTTTGAATTGTGCTTCTAGTTCCCCACTTGGTTTCAGCGAGCTGTTCAATGAATTTCGCCTGCACGAGAATCTGCACTCCCTGGATGACATTCTGTATGCCATTATCGATGCCGATGGCATGTCCTTCAACGATCTAAAGCCCATCTACAAGGAGTTCCTGCTCAAGCTGGCCGTCACACTCACCCAGGACGAGCTCTTTCAGCGCTCCAAGAACATCATGCGACGGCAAAAGAAGAAGAAACAGAAGCGCAAGGCCAGTGTAAATGGGTCACAGGTGAGTGGAGGAACACCAACACAGGATTAGCCTTGAATGCAATCCCTTCCGTTCCACAGAAGAAATCCAAGAGCAGCTTTTTTGGCCTCAAGAAAATGTTCCAACTGGGACAATTTCGCTCGTGCCGCGGCAAGCTGGACAAGTCCAGTCCAAAAGCCAAGGAGGCGGCCTCAACGCTGGGCAGCCAGGGCAAGCGTAAGATTAGTGCGCCCATCATCATTGGGCCACCCATCAGCCACCACGTGCAGAACCAGCAGCAGCAGCATCAACGCAATCGAGCGGCCACCAGTGGCTCGGATGTGTCCGTGGTGCGCAATGAGCACGCCCTGCAGGGACTCAACAGAAACAGCAGCAGCGGGTAAGCTTCAACTGGAAGAGGTCTAATCCCAACTCTCCCTATAGCTTCCATTCCTTCCACAGCTATGTCTCCTGCTCCGAGTGCAGCTACGACTCCGAGAGCTGCACCTGCGCCTCCGCTGATCGCTGCTACTGCAGCCTGCGCACCGAGCATCTCAATCACAAGCTGCGCCAGAAGAACGAGCGCACCATGGCCATGGCCAACTCGCGTAAGCCCGCGGGAACGCTCAACCCTGTGGTGGGTGCGGGCGCAGCAGCCAGCAATCGCCACTCGCTGATCTCGTGCAAGTCGGATGACAAGTGCTACTGCTCCATGGTCGAGGAGGAGCCGGCCAGCACGCTGGAGCACGACTCGGTCAATACGCCCTCGGAGACGACCACGTCCTGCGACTCGGACAGTTGCATCAGCGCCAGCAAGTGCTACTGCAAGCGAACCCATCGCCGGCAGCGTGCCCTGGCAGCGGCAGCCATCAGCGAGGATTCCCTGTCGCAGCAGCGCAAGGCGCGACCCAGTGGCGGTGCAGCACGGAAGGGCAAGTCCGCCGAGAAGCTGGGCCTGGACTACGAACTCTTCAGCATCAGCGGCAACAGCGGCAAGCCCGTTCAGCCGCACGAGGCGCTCAGCGTGAAGAAGAGCGTGGAGGCGGCCGCCGTCTTTGCGGACATGAAGCTCAGCCAGACGACGGACATCAAGAGCCTGTGTCCGCCCATGCAGGCACAGAAAGCGATGCGTGCGGCCAATGGCAGTTGTCGCTCATATGTCTCCTCCCGGAAATCCTCGTACCGTGCGCGCGAATCCTTTAGCACGGATCGCTTGGGTCCCATGGCCATGCCCATCCCGCTGGGACCTGGCAGCGTGGGTGCAGCACATAAGACATACAGCGCTGACAATCTGCTGCTCAGTATGAAGGCCATTGAAAAGGCAGCGTCCATCAGGAGCAATGTGAGCCGGAGTCGCATGGGCAGCTACCAGTCGATGCGGGCTGTGAGCGCCTCGCTTGAGGACTCGCTGGGGTATTTGCCATAAAAGCATAAAACATTAACTAATACTCGGATCTGCATAAACATAATCGTACGCCAGCTTAGGGCTTATGTTTCCCAAGACAATTGCTGTTGAATCATAATTCTCCTGCGAAACGTAACCCCCCAATCTCTAGGCCTAAGTTTCTACTTTTAAGAACATCAAGTGTGAATTTATTTATAAGATTTGAATCGTAGTTTATCAATGTGCAATATGAAGACCATTCCAAGTGGGACAAGAGTCCACCAACCACACAACGCAGTGCAATATTTATAAAGATTTCTAATAAAAAACTATTTCATAAACAAATACTATTTCCGTTGAACTTACAGTGGAATAAAAAGAGAAAGATTATAACTGAAAGTATAAACATTAATGGACAAATGTCTGCCCATGTGTTGTGTTTTCCCTGTAGATGTTCTGCTTCGTCATTCTGTTTTTTGACCAAGGGATATGATCAGAGACGTCTAATCAGAGCAGACCCGAGGCGGGTCAGGGTCAGGGTCAGGGTCAGGTTCAAATACAGCAGCAGCGGCGGCAGCAGCGAAAGCCCGCAAGCCAGCACGTTTGGGATCGAGCAGATGTGCCACCCAATGGGCGCACGTCAAAGCGGTCGGGCAGGAGTGTGATAAGATAACGGATGAGTACGAGGGTGCTGCTGGTGCTACTGGTGCCTCTGTTGACATGCCAGCTGTTGGCGGCAGGCTATTGGATGCGCTATCCACAGCGTGAGCTTACGTGGAGAGTGCGCATGAGACGAATTATTATTTCATTGAGATCTGCCGACCAGTGCTGACCGAACAGAGATGCCCACCTCCGCTGATAGTGTTTTTGTTGCCCGCTCGGAAGGTATTTCCGCCGAAGGAGTTAGGGATCAGTATGCCGATGGCAAGGCGGCCAAAGTGTGGGAGATATTCATCGGAGACAAGAACTCGCGTACGGACAACTACAAGAACTTCTTGATCGAAATGCTGCGCCGGAAGGGCTGCAAGCGTGTCCTGGATGTGGCCTGTGGTACAGGGTAAGTCTGAAGGGTTCCCCGCTAAACTTTACTTTACCATTTCGTTAACACTTTGTGCAGTGTGGACTCGCTCATGCTGGTGGAAGAGGGCTTTGAGGTGGTGTCCGTTGATGCCTCCGACAAGATGCTGAAATACGCTCTCAAGGAGCGCTGGAACAGGCGCAAGGAAGCTGCCTTTGAAAATTGGGGTAAGTTCGGTACTAAAATCCTTCTTAGCCACATTTGCTGACTGTCCATTTGCAGTTATCGAGGAAGCCAACTGGTTGACTTTGTATGACGACATCAAGGAGCATATCAAAGATGGCTTCGATGCAGTCATCTGCCTGGGCAACTCGTTTGCCCACTTGATGGACGGCTTTGGGGATCAGCGTGAGCACAAGCAGGCGATTGGCAACTTTGAGAAGTGCCTCAAGCCAGGTGGTGTCCTGCTGATTGATCATCGCAACTATGACAACATCTTGGAGACAGGCTCCACACCCGCCAAGAGCATTTACTATAATGTGAGTATCAGCACGGAACTGCCCCATCATTGTGGCGCCAATTAAAAACTATTAAATGACACATTCCATTCAAAAGCACACAGAAAAGTTGTGCCGTCATCCTCCAATTGATTATGTTCAGTGGCTGATCTCATTTTGTGTTAGATTACGTGGAAAATCAATTTCATTTCGCATCATCATCAGCGATTCCATTATCAGTTACATGCCCACACGAACCACTGATAAGCAGACGTTGAATTCAATTAGTTTTAATCAAATATTTCCTTCCTCTCTCCTCTTGCAGACAAGCCACACGGCAGACATCAAAACATCCGTCCTTTTCTACTGCGGCAAGCCTTCGTTGGTGTCCATGGATTACCTGATTGCGGGCAACAAGCTGACCAGCGAGTTCCGTCTGTCCTACTATCCTCACGAGCTGAAGCGCTTCCAGGAGATACTTAGTGAGATATTTACGGCCAAGGCCAAGCATCAGCTGTACGGAGACTTCAAGGAGATGAGCCAAGTGAAGAATCCAGCCTTCTACATACACTTAATTGAGAAGCCCAAGGCTTAGATTTAAGCATTTAGTTTTTATTCACATCAAACACACATCTAAAATATAAAGCCCGTTCGATTTACATTTGTAGTGTGTGTGTGTGTGCTGGGTGCCTCGTGGTGTGGGATGATTTTCTGTTCAAATCATTATACAGTATCTGCCCACTATGGAGGCAAAACAGAGAGTCACCATGGCAGCCTCAATCACAAAGGGAAATCGCGATTTCACAAAGTTGAACATCCCCGTGTAGATGTTTGAAATGGTTGAGAGTAGGCTCGATGTCATGTCTGCACCGATTCTCGATCGACGCCTAAAGTATTCTCTGCTAAAGTTAGACTCTGACTGCGGCCAGCTGAAACGCAAAAAGAAATGGAAAGGCACAAAGTAAAGTGTCGCATTAGACTTGCAAATGAATTTACGTTACGTTTGCTTTTCGGTTGGGGTTGGCGTTCAAAGTGCGCGTCAAGTCTACATGCCACCCATCCAAATGGATGTATGTCTAATAGTGCACAGAGCTGTCCCAGCTTATTCGAACATTATGTTATTTATTAATTAATACGTTTCACATAAATGTAACCAAACTTAGACGCCAACAATTTTATTTATACGCTTTGCATCGGTTATTTGCCGCTCAATCTCTAAATTTAGTTGGGTCAAAATCTCAGTTATGGTGCGATGCTGCTTCTCGGGCAATTGAAAGACATTGCTCTTCAGTTCATCCTGGCTCTTGTCAATGTGATAGCGCTGTTTGTTCAACATCTTCTTGGCGGCCTCCAGGTCGGCAGCCATGCCCTTGGTGACCTTGTTAATGCGTGACACCTCCTGCGAAAACTCGCGCTCAGCCACGACACTGTTGGGCAGAGCTGTGTTGGCCTTTTGCATCAGACTGTGACACTTGCGCACCAGTAGCTCCTGGTTGTCGCTGATCTCCTCGAAACGCTCGGCCAGCTTGTGGGCACCCTCGCTGATTATCTCCCGCTCGTGCTCCAGGTCCTGGATCTCGCGCAGTTGCTGCTCCTTCTTCAGTAGAATTTGATTGATGTGCTTCGCAAACTCGGCACGGACGAGGTCGTGCCGCTTGAGGTACTGTTCGCGCAACACTTCAATGGCCTGGTTCAGTAGCTCGTAGCTCTCGTGGGGCGATGCTGACGACAGCTTGTTGGCGAGAATCGGCTGGTTGACATTGCGCTGCAATAAACCTTTAATTTTGTCAAGGAATGATGGTCCAGACTCTTGCTCATCCACATCGGAGGCTCGCTGCTTCTTCTCATTGGGCGCCACCAGCAGCTGGGCATCGATGACCAGCTTTAGGCTGATCACTTGACCGCTGGCCAACAGCAGCACCATACCAGCCGGCAGTTGTAATAGAGAAATGCCGCAGACGGCATTGATCCGCTCGCTAGAGTCGAACTTTGTGCACAGAACGTACTCGGCCCTGGAGGATGCCGCCAATTCCAGTCTGTCCTCATCCGACTCACTGTCCAGATACCGCTGCAGCTCCGATATGAAACTGACTGTGACCACGTGCAATCCAGCATTATGATAGGCAAAGTAGCGCAGCTCGTTGATGATATCTCGCTTCAGGTGTATGGGACAATTGTAGGCGTCTTTTGGTCCAGAATTTGATGCGCCAGAAAGACCCAATTCGAGCTCAACCGTTTCCAGCACATGGATGACATACTCAGAGGGCTCTATGAGAATAAAATCATCAACTTCGTTGAAGGAATGCTCCGCGGCCTCGGCATCCATTAGCAGAGCATGGTGTAGCTTTCCAGTCGACTCGGCAATGACCAAAGTGGGTGGCAGCGAGGGAATGATCATGATCGAGCAAGACTCCAGGCCGTAGTTATCCATTCTCTGTGGCGTTATGGTTATGGGCCCCTGCAGACGCGTCATATCCGAGTCCAGTCTGGTGAGCAGAATGTAGATGTTGCCGTTCTCACGCAGCACCACAATGGGCCATTCAATCTTCTCCTGCTTGGCGGTCTTTCCGCCCAGCGTCTTGTTGCTTTGATTCAAAGTGGATTCGTTGGCCGCAGTCAGATCGGCAGAACGCGGCTTCGTGGCTGGAGCAATGTCAAAGTCCACGGCAACTTCGCCAAAGTCGGTATGCGAAGTCTTGGCTCCTTTTATCATAGTGAGGGGCCCAACTTGCCACACGTGTCGCAGCTTCGAGTGATTGTACACGCGGATGGTGTTGTTGTTCAGCAGCACCAGCAGAGTGGAGTCCGACACTGAGTTTGGATGCCAGCGCACTTGCCGCACCTCCAGATGGTTGTTCTGGAACAAAAGAGAATCCAGACAGTACGTGCGACATGTGACTTTGTCCTTGCCATCCTTAAAGTAGCCATCGGGACCCCAGCGGCGGGGTAACTCCAAGATGAACACACCACGCGGTCCACTCAGTGCCACCAGGGAGCACTCGTTCGACACCGTAACACGATCTATGTCCTGAATGATCGGGATCGAAGATATGAGCGTCTGGTAGTTCACTTTGGCACGCTGCTCAGCCTCCATTAGCGGCGCGCGCCAATTCCGCACGAGCAAGCTGGACTCGTTTCCATCCCACGCAAACAGTAAATCGTCGCTGCAGTCCAACAGGTTTTGCGTGTTCTGCACAATGGGCAGGCCATCGCGTATTTTTTCAAAGAATTGTGTTTTATTTAATTCAAAACAATCCGTGAGTTCCGACATGTCGATTTTATCGATAAAAACAAAACATATACCGACATATACCGAAATATACCCTTTCAGTTTTAAAACATAGCGTAAATATACGGTATATTCCATAACATATTACTCGACTTTAATATTCTGCTTAATATTACCAGCTATTTAGGGTGCTCAGCGAAAAAATTGTATCTTTATCCGATTGATGCATCAATTGAGCTCACGATTGGCTAGTTTTTATGACTTCCTTTTATTGGATTCTCTGCGAAATAAAGATAAAACTAAAAAGGTCAACCCAAAAAATATCATATAACGGGAAAGGACTGCTACGTATTTGACAATTTGTTACTAGATAACCAACATTCAGCGATGAGAATGTATGGAAGTTTGTATACATTTTATGCTATATTTAATATCTGTTTTTCCGAGCTTCTTCACATACAACTGTACATATTTTGACCGATACGGCAGCACTAACAGAATAAAACATCGATATACATCGACTATCGATAGCTTATATGCGCGGTGGTTTTTGAATTTGTATTTTCCACAATGGTACAT